TTTGAGTATAACCATCATGATATCACAAGTTCATAATAAAATTAAAAATATCTAATGAAAAATATATGTATTTTTTAGTTTTTTACGAGTTTCGTATCGTGTTCGGGTTAGGCAGGTCTAACCCGAAATTGATCTGTGTTTTTTGTGTCAATTTCAGGTCGACCCAATTCTAACCCGAGCCTCTTTTTTCTCAACCCTAATCTATAAAATCCGTGTCGTTTTCGAGTCGTGTTATCGTATCGTTACCCATATTACCGGCCCTAACTGTGCCTATATATAATAGAGAATATATGTCAAGGAAGATACAATATTGGATGTTCGAATAATGTGAGATCTTGGGGTAGGAAAATGAGTATCAAGGTTTTGTCACAATTAACAAATGCAGAAATATAAGAGTCAACCAGATTAAAACTTGATGATCCGATTAAAATCTGACCGTTCATAACTAGTTACTATATATTGGTTCTTTATATTAAAATTTCTCTCTAAAATAACCTCTCAGATTAAAAATCTGTAAATTTTTTTTTTTTTCCCAATATGTGCAAAAAAGGCTCCATGATCTGTCTATCACTTGTGGATATTCTTAAATGGTAAGATTAATTGCATCATATTTTTCTACCCCATAAAGTCAGGTACTTGGAAAATAATACTAATGATAATAATAAGAAAAGAACGAGCAATAGACTTTGAAAACTTGACAGAATTTTGTGAAAATTCATTGTAGCTTTTATAAGAAAGATGGCCAACGAATCCACTCTTGAAACTTTTCACATTGAAAAAAGAACGTGCGTGAATTAAATTAACTTTAGTTATTCTTTTCCATCAGTTGGTGAAGACTATAGAGTCTAGACTAAGAGAAAGGAGAATGTGAAATTAAGGAGAAATGTGACAGAAATAGAAATTAAGAAAAACAGAAAAAGAGAGTTGGCCAATAATAAGATATATGTCGGGCACCTGCCATTAATTACGAACATCTTCTCATCATGACATGCAATATTTTCTTTTCCCATTAATTGCTTTTCAATAATGCGTTGGGAAAATAGCTACACTCTCAAAAAGATTCATCAGTTTATAGACATGTATAATTTGCTTTATATGCTTTAATTAGTTTACAGATTAAGGTAGCCGATCTTCCATTTAATTACGTGGAGGGGTTAATTAAACGAGTACAGTGCAAATCATATACTGAAGATAATAAAGAAACAAAAGGGAAATAATTAAAGGGATAAGCGTGTTTCACGTGAATATTATGAAAATCTGTTTCAAAACCTTGATGTGGATATATGACCTAAGTTTGGAACTTTACTAACCGCATTACGCCTTTACTGATTATAAAAAGTTCGCAGATGATCATTAATATGCCATGTTTTTTTCTTTTTTCTTTTTTTTTTTTTGAATAATGGTAACATGTCATGATTTTACTATAATATATGTTATTTTCTATTGTTCGGAATATATATAAACCTTCTAGGTTTGGAGTTAATTCCAACCGTGCACCAAATAAAAGGGTTTACAGCTGGGGATACTGCAAAGCATGTGATTAGATATTCTAATTATCTGTCTAGAAATAATTAACGAATAAGTTAACTTCCTAAACTGTCCATGTTCACACTATTAATTAATAGTAACATGCAATGCGTGCTGGAAGAGATATCTAGCATTTTGAGGGGGGGAAAAAATACTAATAAATTAACGTCTTCAATTGCAGTATTATTAATTAATTGCAAACATGCGATTCACGTTGGAAGATATATATTTCTAAGAATATATGAAGCCATTGTTGACGTGAACCTTCATTCAAATATCAAATAATTAAAATAGGGTTCACGTCAACAAGATAATATATCTGCATATATTATACATATGAAGATATATATATATATATACATCTGTATGTATGTGTATATGCGCTGAATATATGGTGGATAATTAATAAGATATTGTTAATTATACATGACTTACATTACACTCGATGTGGAAAACGAATGACATAATTGTCTGCCTTGAAAAAGACCAAAATTAATTTGAATATGTATACATATAATGTAAAGAGGAAAACAAAAACTTTATGCAATGGACATTTCTGCGTACTACTATTGTGGTTCTCTATATGTACTCGGGGTATTTTATAGAGATGATAAACAAAAAAACAAAAAAAAAAAAAGAAGTCCTTAATTTACGGATCTTACAAAAATATTGAAAAGGTGAAAGAAATCTGCACATTTATATAGCAAGCATTCATAAATATGAGTTTCTTCTTGGGCTACAATATTATCTGAACCAAAAAAGAGAAAATAACTAATTTTCTATATGTCGTTTTTCTTTCTTGGAAAGATTTTATAATGTCATGTTTCAATGGGGACCTTAATTGCAATATTAGAACTCTATCCACGTTTACTTTAATTATCGCAGAGTTGCTAAGGGCATGTATATCAAACCAAAAAAAAAAATGTAATGAATATTGTAATAAATTGGAAAATAAAATAAAGAATAAGAATATTAGAACTCCTTTAGTGTTTATTTATCTATTAGATAAAATGCATAACAATCCACTTCTCTTTCTAGTATTTATTAAATTTAAGAATATGATTTATAAATGTGATAACTAAAGTAGTCGCTTAAGTAATTAAACAAGAGATCAATCATTAGTTTATAGCATGCGAACCTATTAAGGGTGTATGAGTAAATTTGATATTTGTTCTCTTTTATAGGGAACCAACATTATAAGAGAATGCATGTATTGACATTTTAAGTGCGTTGAACTCGTTCTAAAATGATTTTATTTTTTATATAAAAATATAAATGAAAACATTTTTAATCTCAGACAAAAATTATTTTTAAAAATGCGTTTGGTAATTTTATCAAGAGATTATTTTCGGTATAAAAAACTCATTAATCTCTCTCTCTCTCTCTATGTGCTCGAGAGAGGAGGACACGAAAATAAAAAATAAAAAACGACTAAAAGTCATTTTTATTTCTCTCTCATTTTACACTAAATTAAAAAATTATTTTCGTTTTTATTTTTATTTTTTATTTTTAATTGTGCCAAACGCCGTTTTAAAATCGTTTTCATTTTTTCTTTCTCGAAAAATGTGAAAAATAAAAATAAGAATAATTTTAAACACGACATTTATTTTCTTATTTTTTATTTTATGTGTAACCCGCTAAACTATTATTGTGAATTTTGTAAAAAAAATACATGACTAAATGAAAAAGTAATCACTCATTATTTTTCTCTCTTTTTTTAAATATAAATCAACAAACTTTATCTAGTAATGCTATAATATCAGCGATTTTTTTTTCCTTTTGTTAGATGGAGTAACGTCTAACAATGATTTTTTTTTTCCTTAAAAAAAAAGAGAAAACCAGACTGACAAAAGTTTGACATGCAGAGAATAATCTTAGGAAAAAAAAAATACAGTACTGAATTAATGCGTAAGTAAAGGAAAGGAATCTAGCCCACAAAAAGGGGAAATAAAGAATAAGAAAAGGGAAGAAAAAATAGAGAGAGAGTTGGGGAGGGGGGGCGTTTGATATTTAACGACACCGAGAAAGGAGAGTTTTCTTTTCCCTTTTAAAAGATAATTAAATAAATAAAAATGATAATTAAATGATAATTTGATGAGGTCGAAATTATACACACAGAAATTCCAATTTCAGCTTCCTTTGATTATTAAATTTAGTAAAAAAAAAACTTCAACAATCATGTGGTTTTTCCTCACTCACCCCCACGGATTTTAAAGAAATGAAATTATTTGCCTAATTTATTTGTTTATTTCTCTATTACTCCTTTTTTAAGCCCGTCACTCTGAAATATTAATTTTTACTATATTAACGGAGTCCAATCTACTTTATTTCTCATATTTTTTTGATATATCTAATTCTAAAAGATCCAATCAAGCTACACCAATTACAATTGCTTCGAATTAATATTTACCAACATGTTCTCGCACATAATTATATAAATTTATTCTGATAATATTTATCTATTTTTCAATCATAAACATCCATAACTCAACAAGTATAAAACCAAAAATTAAGCCAATTTAATTGGTTTTTAAAATCTACAAAATCTATTTCACTCATTCTATTAAAATTCCTTATATGGAAACTTTTGCCGGGAGAAAAAAATCTCAAACCTTAGCTTTCTAACTTGATATAATTATTTTTAGGGATATGAAAAAAATTAGAATTGCAATTGTGACTTTAAAACGATATAAAATTACTTACAAATTTTAAACGTCGAACACTTTTAGTTCATAAATTTAAACAAAAATTTAAGCCTTGTTCGGCAGTGATATTTTTGAGTTAAAAATTCAAAAAAAAAAAAAATAACTCGAGTTATAACTTTATTCAAATTTATGTTCTTTTAAGTTTAAACTCGAGTTTGAACTCGAGTTTGGGATTAAAACTCGAGTTCAGAAACTCGAACTCAAATTAATGAGCAATATTTTTTCTATTCTTAAAAATGCTATAACTTTTTCGTTTTAATTCTGATTGAGATGATTTTTTTTTCTATGATTGACAACGAAAAGACGAATAAAATCCCACCCATATACCTTATTTAAATTTTCCATCAACATTGAGTTTTTATTAAAATACTATCTAAATATAAATTCAAGTTTTGACTCAGTCAAACACAAATTCAAAAAGATTCTTATCTCAAACCATAACTTAAATGTACACAACCAAACACAAACTCAAATTACAACTTATAACTCAAACTCAACTCAAAATTTACATTCAAGTTACCTAACTCAAAAACGTCAAAAAAACATGCCCTTAAATTTTGTAAGAAAAATACTCTAATAAAAAAGTTTGAACAATAATAAATGAAGCTAAAACTATTAAGTAGATAGGTAAATTAGACAAAGCACCTAATTTAATTTTTAACCCAAGTTGATTCCCACAAAGTATAAAACGATAACCTTTTATGTATCCATTTATCTTTTGTCATTAATGAAATCTCTTCCCACAGAAATAAATCTCATCTTATCTCAGATATTTATTTGACAACAATGAAGAGTCTATTTCCACTACCCACTCTTTGTCTCTCCCTGAAAAAATAGTTTCTCTCTCTCTCTCTCTCTCTAAAAAGTCAGGCCTTATTTATTCTCATTTAGAGAAAGCGGGTATTTTAGCAATCTTTGGCATCTTTTTCAGTCCGTTGGTGGTGGTGGTTGTTCCTTCTCTCTCTCTCTCTCTCTCATTGCTTCGTTCCATTTTCCCGAGGCCATCTCTATCTACTGGGAACTGGGTTTCTGTCCACCACTGATATTGTGCACAAAAAGGGCACACACAAAAAAAAAAAAAAAAGAGAAGAAGAAAAAAGAGTGTCTTTCTTTCTTTTTTTTGTTCACGAGTTGCTCTGTTTTCTGAGCACATTCTCTGTGCCCCTTTTTTTGGCGATCTCTTGGTGAAATTCTGTTCTCGCTTGATCCGCGTTATCTCATTTGATACTTCGATGTTCTGATCAAAGTTCGTAATTCTTAGACAGTTTGATTGAGAATAAACTATTATTGATTGGTTTTCTCTTTTCTCTTGCTTCTGAATTTGAGATACGTAATTTGAATATTAAAAAGAAAAAAAAAAAGTAAACCTTTTGGAATAGATCTTCCTTCACAGATCTGCTCTCTTTTATCCAAACCCGCCCTTTTTTGCTTCCACTTTAATTTTTCCTCATTAAAATTTCTTTTTCTTTTTTTATATTTATATAACCAAAAAGAGGTGATAAAAAGTCATCTTTTTTTCCATTCAAGGAAAAGTTGGAAATCCCCTGGCTGTGTATTACTGATTTCCCAGACTAATTCAAGCCAAATTTCGTGGATTAATAAAAAAAACCAAATCCAGAATTCAAAAGGGTCTGCAAAAATTGTGATCAGAGAAGAAGAAAAGGCAGGATTTTTGAGAATATTTGTTTGTGACGGATCCGTCAATAGAAAACCGGGGATTTGGGTGTTTGGGTGGTCTGGAGTGCATATTGAGCATAATCAGGGCCCTGAAAATGGGGTCCTGCTTGTCTGCAGAAAGCAGGAGCCCTCACGCCTCTTCATCGCCTTTGACTCCCAATCTGGGCGTCAAAAAATGGAAGAATTCAAAGAAGAGACCCGGCTCAAGAAACTCCTCCTTTGACTATCGCAGAGAAGAACCGCTTCACAGGATTCCTGGAAGGATGTTCTTGAATGGCTCCAGTGAGGTTGCTTCACTCTTTACTCAGCAAGGCAAGAAGGGCACCAACCAGGACGCCATGATCGTTTGGGAGGTTGGTTTGGTTTGGTTTGGTTTAGCTCTTTTTTCCATTTGAAATTATGGAATTGAATTGTTTTTGATAGATTGACTTTGAATGAAAATCAGGTGCTTGTGTTTTGATATTCAGATCATTTGTGTTAGTTTTAATTTGCCTCTCTTGATGAGGATTTTTGAATTGCTGTTATGATTTTTCTGCACCTTCATATGAATTTGCACATTTGTAGCTTTTATGGGTATTTAGGGGATCCATTTATTTTTGTTTTTGGGATTTAAGTTTGCACTCTTGCAGCTTCTAATTGTTGTCTTCTGCTGATTCAAGTAAAGAAACTTTAGGGGAAAAGAAAGGGCAGTATGTGTTTATATTGGTTGGGTTTAGTTTCTTCTTTACTTCTCTTTCAAGGATTCTATTCAATGTAACAATGGCTCCACTCAAACCATGCTTACATGGTGCAAAATGAACTCTTCGTTTTCTTGTATATTTCGCTTTTGCAGTTGCGAGTTTATCTTTGTGGAACAAGTTGGCTTGCCTCAGTTTTTATCTGTTTAAAGGTTACTATAAAAGACACTACTCCAATTATGCATCTGTGGGGATATTGCTATGTCAGAACCTAGATTTTCTTATAGTGATCTGTACATCTTTGTTTATGGATTACTTATTCGTTTTCTGATGTTACCGACCTGTTGTAAATGCTTTGTTGTTGTGCAAGGAGGAAACCTGAGCCAATGCAAATCTTGTTTAAACTATAAAAAGTGATCAATTGATCATTTGTTTTCCTTTCTAACCCTTTTTCTTTTAAATCACTAATTTTCTTTACTTTTTCGTCTCAGAATTTTGGTTCCAGAACGGACACAGTTTTCTGCGGTGTCTTTGACGGTCATGGTCCTTATGGTCATATGGTCGCCAAAAGAGTGAGGGATTCTCTACCTCTGAAATTGAGTGCACACTGGGAAGTGAACATAAACGGCAGTGATGTTCTCAAGGAGATCAGCCTAAATACTGCAGGAAGCATGAACTCAGAAGATTCTGCCCTTGCATTTGCTGATGAAGAGCTGAGGGCTTCCATAGATATTGGGGAGGTGGAAAAGCGCCCTGAGATCTTTCAGACATTGAGAGAATCGTTTCTGAAAGCTTTCAAAGTCATGGATAGGGAGCTGAGAATGCAAGGCAGTATCGATTGCTTCTGTAGTGGGACAACAGCTGTGACTCTAGTCAAGCAGGTGGTCTAATAAAACATTTGACGCATTTTTGTTTATGATGTTGAGATTGTTAGAATTCCCATCTTGATCATGAGTGGTTTCGCCGATTTTTGTAGGGCCGGGACATTGTCATTGGAAATGTTGGGGACTCCAGAGCTGTACTAGGTACAAGAGATAAAGACAACTCTCTGATTCCAATTCAGTTGACTGTGGACCTCAAACCAAATCTTCCAGGTTTCTCTCTTATTTCTAGACTTCTTTGACACAATCAGGATCAGGACTAACATAGGGCTCACATTTATGAAGCTATGATTCAAAACAACACGAGCACTCATTTACTTTGTTTTCACTTCTTGTTGATAATATTGATGATTTATGGTTGATCCATTGTGGAAATAATTTTTGGTACAGTTTTTTGTTATATATGGATTTCGTGTACCTGAATGTTAATAAATAAAGAATATAAAAGTGAATATTTTGTTGTTGCTGTTTTTTTTTTTGGTCCTTTACAGAGGAAGCAGAGAGAATCCGAAAGTGTAGAGGCCGTGTTTTTGCTCTTCAGGATGAACCTGAAGTTGCTCGAGTTTGGTTACCAAACAACGACTCCCCTGGCCTGGCCATGGCTCGGGCTTTTGGTGATTTCTGCCTCAAGGATTTTGGTCTGATCTCTGTGCCTGATATATCTAATCGGCGGATTAGTGAGAAAGATGAATTTATAGTCTTGGCTACAGATGGCGTATGAGATGAAAGCCAACTTGATATTTAAGTAATTTGCTTTACTGAATGACATTTCTCCTATCAAATTTCTTATTTCAGTTTTTCTCTTGGTAGATTTGGGATGTGCTCTCAAACAAAGAAGTGGTAGACATAGTAGCGTCAGCCCCCGCTAGATCATCTGCAGCTCGAGCATTGGTTGAGACAGCAGTTCAATCTTGGAGGCAAAAATATCCGACGTCCAAGGTAGATGACTGCGCTGTTGTTTGTCTCTTCCTCGATTCAGACACGGACAACATATCAATTGCTGCTAATACTAGGTCCAAGGAACAGCATTGTTCAGCCGATGAAGTCAACTGCACAACTGAGAAAGAAGACCCCTCTTGTCCTACTAGTCTGGACCGCTCAGGAACTGTCCGAACTGGCCAAGAGATGAATCCAAAAGGAAGCAAAGAGGATGCTGAAGAGGAAATAAATTCGGAGCCAGGAAAAGATTGGTCTGCTCTTGAAGGAGTTTCTCGTGTTAATACATTATTGACTCTGCCAAGGTTTGTGCCTGGAGAAGTGAAGCTGTAAACATGTCCCGCAAATGATGAAAAAAACGGGAAGAAGATCGGTTTTTCTTTCTTTCCCGTAATCAACTTATTTTGTTTTCAATTTTCCTTTTATCTGTTTTCATTTTATTTTTTCTACAGAAAGGGAAAAGAAAATTTATAGGGCCGTAAGATGTTGAACCGGAGAGGAGGTTGGCCCGGCTATATTTGCATGTCTGGGGAAATTGTCCTTTCTCTCTCTAGCGTGGGTAGGATTGGAATTTTTGTAACCCAACTCTCCGTCCTTTTTGAGTCGATTAATTTTTGTTCCATAAAATTTCATGTGATATTTGTTGTTTGTCATGTTGATAATTGTTGTTTGTCATGTTGATAATAGTAATCTTGTGATAATGAAGCCTCATGTTGTTTTCAGCTCTTGAGGGGTTAGATTCTCCATTCTTGAATGCCATTTTCAGATGTGAACAGTCATATCATGTATTACCAATACATATTTCTTGTATTTTTCTTTCTTGTGGTTCGAATTGTTTCATTGAAGGATCCTTTTTATAGTTTCTATCCAGATCGAAGTTGCCAATTTGACATGAATTCAAACTTAAAAAATCCACATCTTCCCAAATTGCTTCCGCTCCATATGTTTAATTGTTTGGTTTGCAAGAAAATATGTAAGTGTCATAGGGGGGATATTTTCCAGCATTATCTTAAGAGTCAATTCATTCAGAAATTAAGAGGTGGGTGTTTTTTGTTCTGTGCATTTAAATGAGTAGTTCGCATGTGACTTGAGGAGAGCGAGGATTTTTCTTCGCTTGGTGATGCTGATACAACATGGATTATCACAGACAGGGACAAGAATAGGCGAGTGAGGTGTATTTGCCACTTTTTGACAAAACTGATTGGGCTCTTTCACGGTTTTCACCTAATAAAAGAAACTTTTGAACCTCACTAGTGGCGTCATTGCCCCAAGCACCTTAGCTAGAACACCTCTTTCCATTCTTCAAGAGCTCAAAACTCCATAGCCACAAGTTGGTTGTATCCGGCCCTATGTGGGAAATTAAGTGGGTCTTGTGGCCGGTGGAGGAACCCCGATTGGATGGACGGATGGAGTCTAGTTCAGACCCTTTTCATTCCTCCGTGGTGTCCGGGATTATTACTATAGTTGAAGGGGATGGGAGTGAGGTGCCCCATTTGATTCCCTTTTTTGACTAAAAAGAAAAAAGAAACTTTAGAAAAAGAACCAAAAGAAAAAGATGCCAATAAATAATTATGAATAAAAATCCAAAAGTGGTGTTAAAAAAAAAAAAAAGTGTATGGGCTTAGCTCGTGTACATAAAGATATGTAAATGTGTAGAATCACAATTTGCTCGTTATAAATTATTCATTGGCAGCTCAATCGGGTCAACTTGTCAAGTGCTTTACAATGTAATGAAAAGAGGGTGTCTTTTTTCTTTGACAGAATCAAAGAAAATCCACAACTTGAAGTTTGTAGTCAAGCTAGGCTCATGGTTCTTGATTTAGCCTCCGCTGTAAAATGAAGCTCTTTATTGGATTGATTGCTTTAAATTTCCTTCCTATGACTAAAATGGAGTTCTGGGGAAAATAAGGATTGGGAAATACACGGTATTGAACAAAACATAGATAAATGGACAAAAAAAGCTTCTTCACTCCTTTTTTCTTTTTTTCTTTTTTTTTTTTTTTGGTCTGAGGAAAAAAAAGAAGCTTCTTCAAATGTGTCATATTGGTTTTTCTTCCAACCAACGGCTATAGAAGTCCAAAGCCTCCCCGGGCTTGTATTCAGGAACCGTGTGCCCTGCTCCCTAAACCATTGAAAATGAAATTTGGCAGGTGTCAAAGTGATGACGCATTAGTGGTAAATATTGAACTTTTGGAAGGGACAAAAATTGCAATTTAGTAGAAGGGTAAATGAATTTAGTAAAACAGAGTAAGAAAAATCATCTTATAATCTTATTGGAAAAGGAATACCGAATAATATTGGAAACAAAGTTTGAATACCAACCTTGACGGTGAGAAAGGTGAGATTGTGGTCATATCCTTGCACGTATCTGCAACAAATAGAACAATTCCTTTTGTAAGTGGCAGGAGCTTTCAATAAGCGTAGTGATAGTGGTAGCTATGTTGTCTCACGTATATGTCAACTTTAGATTAAGAATATTAAGTTAAGGGAGTTAAGCAAAAAAAAAAAAAAAACATTACTATTTATCATCATCAGTGATGCACCACCACATACATATCAGTAAAAAAGAACTGTCACATGTCAAAGAAAATAACGATAATAATTATTATAAAAAAAAGCCCGAGTCTCAAAGTCTATGTGACGAATATCGCGTACTTTTATATATACAATAATCAAATATCAATCAAGTGGAGCGATAACTAGTATTCTTCCTTAAGACAAAGGGTGGTTTCTGGAGCAAAATATGTTGGCATACAAAAGGGAATATATTTTACCCTGCAACTTGGGAATTGGAGATCCAAGGCCTCCATTCAGCTACTATCTGATATCCAAGTGATCTCGTCCATGCTTGGCTCCCAGTAAATGGCACACACATGTCATGGTCTCCACTGTCAATAGAAACAGTAAAACACTCGAACATTTTTTTTTTTTTTTGGAAGAAAACTACTTGGTAATAAAGATGAAATATAAGCAAAATTTCATATGTTGCAAATTCTCAAGTGTCAAATTTCATAAAAAAATTCTCAAGTGTCAAAGAAATGATGCTTCACAATATTGCACGGGCCCTAACTATTACCTAAAAACGAGGACTCTATATCCTTGCATTGTGAGGTTTCTATGGTATGGGATCATACTTCCAGCATCATGATAATATTGTATTCTGCTTGTGCAAAGATCCCAACGACCAGTTACGCTTTCCTGATTATTTAAAATAATGTAATAGAAAAAAAGAATAAGATTTAAATTCTCGGATAATTAAAAGTAACGAAAGTATTTATACAAATAGGAAGGCCTTGATTTGAAAGTTCTTACTGGCTCAGCATGAATTGCTTCCCTAACTGCTTTGTCATTAAGCCATGTACTTGCAACATTATCATCCTGCACAGTTACCAAAATAAGATCCAACAGTACAAAATAATAATAACGAGGACGACGATAACGACAACAATAATAATAAACTTTCAAATTAAACAACGTGGCGTGGCGACCACGGCAACAATAATAACAAATTTTCAAAATTAAAAAGCAATCAAAATAGCATAAGTTAAAAACGGGGTCGGTTTATTAAAGAAACACGGTAGAGAATTAAAAAAAATCAATCAATATGCAGGTCAAGTCATATCAAAAACATATAAAACTGAAAAATATGTAATTTTAACAAAACTATGGTAAAAATATATTGTCTAAGGCTGTTTTTTTTTATTTTATGTAATCAAAGAATTCTTCTAAAGAGATAAACGGAAAGTTAAAAGTGCCCCATCAAAGGGTTGCAACTTGCAAATGAGAACATAAAAGTTCTTGCTGGATCTGCGTTATCACGACTATAAGATGCCAGCCCCTAATTTTGGCTCATCGAACCATACAAAACAAAGAAGGAAATTGTACATAATTAAGTTGCATTTAATCAAGAAAACTCAGTGTCATGATGATCCATATGCGCTTTCACAGCAAACATAGAACATCAATAAAAACATTCTAGCCCTTAAATCTTAGCTAAACCAAGGAAACCGACAAATTCATTTAAGGGGTTTGGAAGAATAGAAGAAATAATCAGAAAACTAAGGCTGTCATGGGATACTTCCAGCCTGTCTGCAACCCAATTTGTCAAATAAGATTTATATATAAATTTTTATGTATATGTGTATATATATATGCCCCCAAGCAAAAGCAATGCATGTGACAAAAAACAATCTATAATCCAATATATATGAGATCTTTTTATACGAGAACTTTACACATGAGATTTATTATTATTTTTTTCTAGGGAAGAGACAACGTATTATATATGTAAAGAGAATATGTTGGTAGAGTAAAAAATATCATAATAATATTAGACAAATTCTAAAACGTTAAATTTGACAATTCAGAAGTACTCCTGCCATGAAATTCCTATCTTGTCTAAAATTTGAGGCAGAATGTGCAGGGTGACAGTGTGTCACGGACTTAAAAATTTAACAACAAAGTGGGACGACTCTCATAATTCGGGGGCAAAAATGAAAGAAAAGTTTAAAAGAAAAACTTACAAAGCAGGGAACGTGTATTCTAGAGCCAGCAGCAAGTTGGGGCCACAAAGGGACAAGACCATCTCTAACAGGTGCCTCAAAAGGCCAAGCACGTCCGAACATCCTTTTCCTCACGGGAAGAGGCTTTTTAGTCATTCCCAACTGTTGAAAGCTTAATGGCAAGCTTGAGTTTGCTGATTTGGAGTTCAGTATATCAGCATCTGGGCTATGGTAGCATGGCTCCAGGATGTCGTATATGTTTATTCCAACGAGAGCCTGTCGTACAATTATATACAACACCAAAAAGATTGGAAAGTAAAGAAAATCATGTTTTTTGTACTGATAAGATGTCCATTTCGTTATCGTTATCGTTATTATAACTAAATTAAGTAGTATGCAAATTATCTGAGGTGTTATAATAAGGACGGTTAAAAGATGAAAATTTAATGCACCGTTTACAATTTTGCACTATGAAATCTTCCACATGAAAAATAAAAAACCTTTTGAAAAAAATATATATTATTTTTTGAGCCGCGTATATATACCTCTCTTACTCGTACAAGTTTTGAGTTGCAATGACCCTTTTCAGAGTTACTGTAGTAGTTTCCTTTGCAAGCAGCTCGAGCTTCCTGTGACATAGCCGTTGTAGGCATCATTTAACGATAAAACCCATACATCCCTTATATTGAAGTCAAAAGTTCAAATCTCTTAACCCCAGTTTAAAAAATATGTATATGATTGAGAAATACTAACATCAATTGTTTGACATGTAGACTCCATTAACGTGATGTATAATCATTTAAGTAGAAAATAAGATAGTAGAATCTATATGTCAAACAGTAAACACAGAGAGAGTGTCAGAAAAAGTGATGCTAACATTTCTGTATATACTTTTCTAAACAATTTCTAGTGAATATTTTCTTGAGTGATCGTTGGTGTCAGTCGTCCCAAGGTTTTGAATCAAAAGAAGACTAGGTGAAAGCATGTAATTTAGAGTGAAATATAATAAGGCCTCGTTCAGTTCGTCGATTCGAATTTTCAATTTGAGTTAAGACGTGACTTTATGTGATAATTTTTAACTGTAGTAAAAAAGTTAGATATGATTATTTCTGAGAGTTTTTAACTATTAAAAAATTGAAATTAAAAACTCGAATCGGTGAAATGAACGAGGCCTAAGATTTCAATTCTTCATGTGACATGTCGCGAAAGAGAGGAAGGAAAAAAAAAATCAAATAAAGAAAAGCAAATAAAATTCGTACCTCATAGATATCATCTGAGATGAGGGCCATACCGTGGGCAAAAGGAACAAGAGCATCCCCATCAAATTTTGGGTCCGTGACCGCATTTCCCACCATGTAACCCTATCGACAATTAATTAGAACCTCATTATCATATTTATTAATTAACAATAACTAAATTTACAAATCAGCTTGACTTTGAGTTTCCATTTAAAGTAATAATATTGTACCTTAAAATTGATAACTGGCTTTTCTCCATTTTTAATTCCTACAAAAAAAATGTGCAAATCTTGCTGATCAGGATTTATGTCAACCCACAAATGCAATAAAATTGTCAGAACATAATGAATGCATCTCATATATTATTATGACAATTAAATATATATATATATATATATATATATATATATATATAGAGTTAATAATAGTACCTTTAGCAACTTGAGAAGCAAGAGTGGGCACATAAATTCCAGCAAATGACTCTCCCGAGATGTAAAATGGGTTTGAAATGAACTCTGGGAATTGCTCAAACCACTGATTGCATTAAAAAAAAAAAAAAAAATTATGGGAACTTCTTTAAAATATTTTCATTGTATTTTTTTTCTTAGTTATCATGATTCCCATATCTTTTGAAACATTTTTCTCTTAACTACCTGGAGGAGGAAAGTATGTGTGTCAGCAGAAGTTTGTTGGTCTCCGGTTTTGTATTTGGTTGGGTCTTTGGAGTAAGAAAAGCCAACACCAACAGGAGAATCCAAATATATGATATTCGAAACCTGAAAAGTGGATGATGTAAGGAAATAAATTAGATGAAAATAATAAATATTAATGTTCAAATATTACAAAAAAAAAAAAAGACCATATTATTAGAGTGCGCGGTAAATATAATAATAATACTGACAAAGAAACTGTAAATGATTTGCTTGACAGGAAATATGGTTTATATATTGACCTTTGTCCAAGTATATGCATTAAGATGCAACTTGGGCAGGCTTCCCTTCGGCTTTCCTTCTTCAAAACTGAACGGTCCTGCATTGTTTAGTGCAAATGAAACCATGCATATCTCTAATTGCAAATAAAAGTAAGTGTGTGTGTGTATATATATATATATATAATTTAAACAAGAAGAAAGAATATTAATATCAATCAAGTGGCATAGTATAATTAAACTTTTCCAACTAGAAAAGGAAATGATCATCTTTCTTATGTGGGGACTCTATTTTAATATTAATTAGTTTGAAGCAGTCAAGCATATATATATATATATATGTATACATATATGTATACATATATATTAAAAAACTTGCAGAAGAAATTAATTAAGTTCATGACCTTGCATTATTCTCCTCATTGACATAATAATGATTCTAATTAAAATATTTCATGCTGTCAAAGGGCACGTAGTATATAACTGATATTATACAATAATTTCCCTTGCAGTACATATCATACAGATAGCCCTTTAAGGTTATTATTTCTTCATAATTTCTTAATAAACTTTATTTTTATCAATTTGTCACATTCCGGTACAAGACAAAGAAAGAAAAATTAGAGTCTGTGGCACGCTGTGGCACACATACAATATATTACAAGATGAGGGTAGTATTAATCAAGATATATATGAGTCTACTTGAGAATAATTTATACAAATGTTCTAATCTTAAACTACCTACCAAATACAAAATAGACAAAACAAGAAAAAGAACGCCAAAATAGAAAACAGTATTTGTCTGTTAGTAGCGGATAAAACAAATGAAAAGGATAACAGCTTTTCTCAAAAGTAAGAAATGGTTATAATAAGCTGCATCTGCCATCCTCAGGCTCTTATATCTCTAAACCCCCCCAAAAAGGAAATCATTTCCTTTGAATTAACTTCTATATATTATGACTCATAATTTATAAGCCCCCATAATAATAATAGTATATAATAATATAAACAAAATATTTGGATAATGAACATGCATAAAGTGTGTCTTGAGAAAGTGTAGCAGATAGCATCTTCTAGTTGTGGACAGTCCAACATGAAAGTACAGTGTTTTCAGGACGTTAAGCCAAAAACACAGGGAAAAAAAAAAAAGATTGGTTCAGATACCAATACTAACAGTATTTGCAAATTAGCGTACCATGTTCATACACAAAACCATCGAAGCTAGAGCATCCGGGTCCGCCATTAAGCCACAAAACGACTGGATCAGTTGCTGGGCTTCTCTCTGAAACGACAAAGTAATAGAACAGATTCTTCCCAGCGGGATTTCCATCTATGTTTATGTATCTGCAAAACCCAGATACCGAAAACTCATATAAATACTTGTAACATAATAATTCAGAGAATTTTGTAGCAGCGTATTAATAGGAAAATTACAATTTTCTTTTAACTTTTTAATTTAAATATTTGACGCTCATAAAAAATGAAAAAGAAAAAGGAAGACTTACCCTGAATAGTGTTTTGATGGAAAAGTGCCATCAAAGCCAGGAAGTTGTGTGACCAGAGAACGTGGAGGGGAAGCATCAGAAGAAAAAAGAATGGAGCAAAGAGATATGAAGAGAAACAAGAATTTGGGTTTGCCCATTTCGTTATATATATATGTGTGTGTGTGTGTGTGTGTGTGTATAACCCCACAAGTTTAGTACTTATGAAACGAACTAAAATATTAGTGAGACTATATATAGCTCAAGGCTCATGCATATGTTGTGTGTTTCCAAGGAGAGAGAAGAGGATGTGGGGAAGGTGATAGAACAATGAGAGGGAAAAGAACATTATCAGAAAGGCACATGTAGACAAAAAGGAAAAAAGTGGGGAAAACAAACTCAACCAGAGAAGCACATAGAAGAACCACACACAAAAAAAAAAAAAAAAAAAAAAAAAAAGGTTCAGTTTTCAGGGTCAGAAAAGTAGGGAAACAGTTGGCATGAAAAGGTATTGAAAAAGAAAAAATGGGAGGGAAAAAGATTCAGCTTAAACCAGAATAATGGCATTGACAAGGGAATCACAAACTAGAGAGAGAGAGAGAGAGAGAGAGAGAGAGAGAGAGAGAGAACCATCTCAAGCTTAGTGCTTTGTCCAATCATCTCCAATCATAAATTCATTTTCTACCGTGCACATAGTAGAAGACTAAGAAGATCAACAAGAAGAAGAAGAAGAGGAAGAAGAGGGAATGATTTTCCTTTTCAAACTATAGGGAATCTTTATTCTCAGTCCCCCAAACACTACAAATTTGTTGCTACATATATTCTCTCGTGAAATTATTAAAACATGTTTAATCAATGCGTTTAAATTAGTAATTTTTTATTTTAATATTTAAATTTTAAGTTTTTTATAAAAAAAATATTTATAATAGAATTAAAATTATAAATTTAAACACGTAAAGTCTTCTTCATTTTTGACCATTTTGCTCATAAATTTATTATCCAAGAGACAAAAGGAAACTTCCAACTTGGAATAGGGAAATAACGCTATTGATATGGGAAAAATTACAAAAAGTGCAAATCAGTAGAAAATGATAGGGCGCAGTGCCCAATGAATGCTTGTTGGGCCCAATAATTTACTTTTCCACATTCGTAGACAAATGTTAAATCATAATTTTGTTGAATAGTTGGTGGAGGGAGTTGAACCAAAAAAGGGCTCTCCACTTTGTACTTTCTTTTGTATTTGGTGCCATGCCTTATCTCTTCTAGAATGAACATCACACATTCAACATATTTGTTTTGGCCGTTACAGGGCAGGTGCTATATCTATTATAGGTTGCTTTGAAATTGCCTTGATAAATTGAATAAGTGCTTCTTGGTCAACTTACTTATTTAACAACCCGTGAAGGTGGCACGATAGAAATAGACGATCAATTAAAGCCCTCTCATTTAGCATTTAGGGATTGACTTTTATCGTTTATAGTGATATTAGTGTTATGGCTTAGTTTGATATTGTTTTTTCATCCTAAAATCATGTCTTGTTTGTAGCAGAAGTTGATTTTAGTATTTGGTAAATCTCCTTAAAAGTGTTTTTTGAAGAATTTTTTAAGAATCTACAGCCAAAATCAGAAGCAGCCTAAAGACAACTTTAGCTTTTAGATTGTACGGGAATCAGCATAGTACAATTAATGAAACTTTCATAATACCCATAATACCTCTAATGAAATTTAAAATTTACAATCTTCTCAGTCTAAAATTCATACTCGTGATATAATATAATATAATAGTAATATTGTAACAAGTAATATCATAAATATATTAATAACTCTAATATTATTATTTTATCCTATAATATGATATTGATATAATCTTATATTGTATAATATAATAGGAATCAGTATAATATAATATAATAGGAATCAGTATATTGTATTGATATAATTATATTTATTATATTAATAATAATATCTTAATTAATATAATTAAATATTATTATAATCTTATAATTATAATATTATTATATAGTGTATTACACAGTTATAATTATATTAATCATTTTAATAATATTATTATATTCTACATCATAATTATATAATATATTATTTAATAATAATTTTATTGTATTGTATTAAATATTACAATAAATAAACATTATATTGTAATTATATATATTATATTATAGTATAATATAATATAATCATAATTTTTAATTATTTCCGTTATTATTTTAATAATAATATTATTATATATCATATTTATATAATATATTATATAATAATAGTTTTTTATTATATTAAATATAATAATAAATATATATTATATTGTAATTATATATATTATATTATAGTATAATATAATATAGTTATAATTTTTAACTATTTATAGTAATTCAACATCATAATTTACCAAATGCTATTACGTTGATTTTAGAACTAACACGGCTACTATAATTATAATGTACTAAATACTCAGCTGCTTTTTCTTTCAGCACAGCTAAAAATAATTTTTTTTAAATCTATAGCATTACTTATCATCACCTATTATCCATTTTTTATTAGCAAGAAAAAGTGAAAACTTGTTGAATGATGGTTTTTTTAGTAGATGTAAAGAGCAAAATGGGCACACTAATTATACAATCATACATTTCTAATGATAATGACCGTTCAAAGAAGTGTTATCACTTTTCTTCTCATGAAAAAGAAAAAATACAAATGAGACTCGTATGGGATCGATCGAGCCCCATCTAATTTGAGTGTTTCTAATTGTTTAGCCTGATGTAAGTTGTATATCTCGTCACTTTCGTTCGAACTAACTGCTTTAAATTGTGTGGTATTTTTAATCAATTCAATTTCAATCATTCAACAGAAATCCGATTATTTTTAGTCGCAAAAGTCAGATCGTTTCCCACTATTACAGCTGAAATGTGAGAGAAAGCTCATTATCATGCAAATAAAAAGTGTGGACGGCATATGTATATGTCTCAACTTTGAACTCATTATCAGAGAGAAATTAAGGACCATTCCATTTACTAATTACATATGATATGATTACACAAATGCTATTGGACAAGGTAAGTTGAAATTAGCGTTTTTTTTTTTATACACAAATTGGTTTGAGTATATAAACCAATTCCGAGAATATTGAACAAATTATTTGCTTTTTGAAGGTCATTATTGGATCAATGCATTCTCTCTTTATCTTTGTCTGCAATTTCTTATAATTATTCACATGACTATTGAGATAGAAAATTTATTTGTTGATTCGAGTTTTTAATTCGTGTTGAGATGTGACTTTATGTGAGAGTTTTTTACTGTAGTAAAAAATTTAGATCTGACTGTTTTTGAGAATTTTTTACTATAACAAAACTCGAATCGGTGAAATTAACATAGTGGCAGTAACTCTATATACGCATAAGTCTTCTATTAATGACTACAGAATTCCAATGCCTCCCTTGGCTTGTATTCAGGAACAGTATGCCCAGCTCCCTGCATGACATGATTATTAATAATCACCATTTTCAATCTTTAATAAAGACAACAACAAGAACTTTTCAAATTAATGGACAAAAAAAAAAAAAAAAAAAGTCAATCCTACGCTAACCTTATGGTGAGAAAGGTGAGGATGTTGCCGTATTCTTGTACATAACTGCAAGAGATTACAATACAAACAAACACTAATTTCAAGATAGAAAGCATAAAACTTACTATTTCAAGTTAATTAAAAAATAATAAGGTCAATAGTTTTCGTGGCAAATCAAAAGCTCTGCTTAGAAACAAACTAACATTGAAGTACAAAGCTTACGGTTAAGCCCGTGAAAAAATTTGAAAAGCGTCACTTTTTTTTTTTTTACCATTTTGCCCTTCTCATGTTTTATTTATGCCTTTACGAAGAGCTCTAGATGCTGACCTTTATCAGAAATCCTTGTCCTTCTGAAAGGGAAAAAGGAGAATAAGAGAAAGAGGCAAATTAGGCAGAGAAAAGAAAGACATTATTAAAGATGTAACTTGGCATTAAGTTAAAGGAGAAAAGGAGAAAAGGAGATGAAAGGGGCACATGGAGGATTAGGGTGTGTTTAGTAGATGAATTCAGAATTATAATTATGGATTATTGTTCAGAATCAGTGTTCGTTTACAGTGATTTTGAATCATGATTCATAATTAGTGTTTAGTTTGGATGATTATGAATCATGATTCAGAATCTGATGTGATGTTTTAAACTAACTCAAATCATGATTCTAAAACCACCCCCTCTTGATTAAAGGTGATTCAAACCCATGATTCTGAATCATTGTTTCAGAATCATGATTTGAATCATTGTTTCAGAATCATGATTTGAATTCAAAATCATGAATTATGGTTCTGATTCTAGAATCATGATTAGAATTACCCTGATTTAAATCATCATACTAAACGAACCCTTAATATTGTAGAAATAGAAGTGGGGAAATATTACCTTAAAAATATTGGCCATGGAACCATGCAATGTGCCTTGTTTTTCCTTCTTTTTGCTAAACGTCAAGGTGATGGAGGGAATAGTGCTATGTTTTTCGGTCTCTCTCTCTCTCTCCCTCTGTTTTGGTTTATATTTATAAATTCAATTCCTAATTTGCAATTCGTTTCATACTTGGTGTTCCCAGCCGGTCAACTCGACTTACTGACTAGAAGTCCTAGGGGTTGCCCATGCTTTTCCATCCTCTGTTTTTCAATTTTATTTTTTTGCTTCTGGACTTGATTGTATTCCTATTTCTGTAGGCTTTGGCCGATTTAATATAATGCCACAAAAAGTTTTACATCACGTCAATTAAAAAATTAAAAAAATTAGATCCGTTTAGTTCGTTGATTTAAATTTTTAATTCAAATTGATATGTAATTTTATAGATTTAAAATTATTTTTAATTTATATATATTTTTTATAAGAGAAAATAATTACAAATTATGATATGAATTATAACACGAATCCTTACTCTAAACACACGTTAAAAAATTTAGGGCTAAAGTGATACTCAGACTTTTGGTTGATGGATTCATAATTATGATTCAAAATTATTCTCAATTTACGTGTATTTTTTATAAGAAAAAATATTATAATAAATTACAAATTATAATTTGAATTATGACACGAATTCATCAACAATCCAAGGACGAATTGGGTCAATTATACTCTCTTGCAAAATCAGAATATGCCAAATTTGAAAAGGTGATGTTTCCTAAGTTCAAAAAAACCGCCATAAATGGCATGTATTTTTGCCTCTTCGATTCTTCTCAAATCTCACTAATTCAGCGTTTTCCGGCCATGGATTTTCTCCCCAATCTTCAAGGCCTCGAGGTAATCTTCCTTCCTTCTTCTCACTAGCCCTAATTCCAACTTCCTTTATCACAATTTTGTCTCTGATTAGATCTGAAGTTGTGTTTAATCTTGTTATTTGTGTTTGTTTGCCGAGAAATTGTGTGAAAAACGACGAATTTGAAGTGTTGAAGTCAAATTTCTGGTTCAATTACAGAATTGAACTTGCGCCATCGAAGTGGAAATTACGTATTCTAGTATTCGAAAACAGTTGTGCCCTGTTTTGTATGTCGGATCGGATAGGATTAGAAAGTCAGGATTGGCTAGGATTTGATTGAATGGGATTTTTTTTTAAAATCCTATCCTATGTTTGGTAACTCTTCGGATAAACGCTTGGAAAAGGTTTCTCGTATCTTTTCCAACTGGTTCTTTCTTGAGCGACCGAGGGAGTGAGTCGGCGACGGTGAGAGTGAGCCGGCGACGGAATCAGGTTTGGGGATCTTGAGCGACGGAGACCGGCCGTGAGAGGGTGTACGAGCGACGGAGATCCGGGGGCTGGGGTTCAAGAGAGAGAGTTGGTTTTTTGAACATCCAAACTCTTGTTCAAACTCAATCTTTTCCTCTCCTCTTTTTTACTTCTCAATTTCCTTCATTTTTTTTTTCTCACCCAAAAATTTGGGTTCCAAACACAGCCTAATCTTTGGATTTTTGACTATTAGATTCTGTTTATTTAATTTTAATTGCACTTACTCATGGCCCCAGTTTTCAGGTCGTAACATTATTGCTCTCAATGCGTTTGGTCATCCACTCATTTTTGCTTCTTTAATTTTCTTACGTGTCCAAAGACTAGAGTAGAGCATATTTGACAATGTGGAAGCTGAAGATTGCGGATGGAGGGAATCCATGGCTGCGCACTCTCAACAACCACGCGGGTAGGCAATTCTGGGAGTTCGACCCAAAGCTCGGAACCCCTGAGGAGCTGGCTGAGATTGAAAACGCTCAGCAAGCCTTCGCAGCCACTCGCTTTGAGAAGAAGCACAGCTCCGATTTGCTCATGCGTATTCAGGTTGATAGTCTCTGGATCACAAAAGTACTTTACACATCCTAATTGTTAACAATGTAAATATATTTTTTGTTGTTTAAACAAGAGATTGCTCAAGCAGTTCAAATATCTTTCCTTTTTTAATTATTGGTTAATGATATTCATGCTATCCAATTCTATAGCCTGATAGTCAACATGTTAACTTAGTCTATTTGTTTATCGATATCTAGCTTTCAAAGGAGAACCCATGTGATACAGTGTTGCCCCAAGTCAAAGTGAAAGATATAGAAGATGTTTCTGAAGAGATGGTAACTAACTCCTTGAAGAGGGCTTTAAATTTCTACTCAACAATCCAAGCCCATGATGGCCATTGGCCTGGGGACTATGGAGGTCCTATGTTTCTTTTGCCTGGCTTGGTACGTTATGTTGTGCAACTAGACACTGAATTGCCTCAATGGTCATAAACCAGTAGTTTTGACATCTAATTCTATTACTATTATTTAAAAAAAAAATCACATATTCTCTACCATTTTTTGTTTCTAAATTATCCCTTGCTTGTTTCAATGAATCAGATAATTACTTTGTCTATTACTGGGGCACTAAATGCAGTCTTATCAGCAGAGCACAAAAAAGAGATGTGTCGTTACCTTTACAATCACCAGGCAAGTTGAACTTTTTACTGTACTGACTTCAGAGTGTCACGATTTTGGTTGTTTATATAAAGGCTTCACCTCGTATTAATTTATGTGAAATTGCAGAACAAAGATGGTGGTTGGGGTTTGCACATTGAAGGGGCAAGCACTATGTTTGGTTCCGTTTTGAGCTATGTTACTTTGAGATTACTTGGTGAAGAAGCGAATGGTGGACAAGGGGCAATGGAGAGAGGACGCAAATGGATTCTGGACCATGGTGGTGCTACTGCAGTTACTTCCTGGGGGAAAATGTGGTTGACAGTTGAGAATCTAACCTTTTTGGCTTGAATATTTAGTTTAAACAATGTTCTTGATGTTTGGATGTGCTCTCGCGTTTTTCGTTTAGTTGTATCATATTGCTTACAATCATAGGTACTTGGTGTGTTTGAATGGTCTGGCAATAATCCCCTGCCTCCAGAAGTATGGCTTCTTCCGTACATCCTTCCAATTCATCCAGGTACTTTATCTTCTTATAACACATTCCAAATTATTTGCCCCAAGCGTGCTTGAAATTTCCCCTATTGTTGAGAGTATGTTCATTCTTTGCATAAAGTTTCTTAATTTTTTCTTTGAGAAAAATACCAGTACTCATGGTCATACTCACTGTAATAAATAATATGTAGCTTTAAAGAATAAACACATGATATGGTACAGTGTTCATTGTCATATCCAGTTTTGAAACTTCAATTAATAACAGTGGTGAAAGAACTATGTTATGCAATTTATTTTTATGAAATTGTTTTGGGTTGCATATTTCTTTTTTAATCTTTTCCCCTTGATTTATACACAACCTAGCATTCCATGAACCTTCACTGAGGATTTAGCTTCCATTTCTCATCTTATATTCCCCATTGTTAAATTTGGCATTACATGTTGTCGCTAACTTAAGTTGAAGTGTTCAGTAACAAATTTTCTTTTTCTTATTTGTGAAGTATTATTAGTAGTGTTGTTGTTGTTGATGTTGCTATTTTAATTTCTTTTAATCTCAACATCACTACCAAAAGAGAAAAACTTAATTTTCTGCGCATTCTATAGGAAGAATATGGTGTCATTGTCGTATGGTGTACTTACCGATGTGTTACTTATATGGGAAGAAGTTTGTTGGTTCAATAACACCAATGGTGTTGTCTTTGCGGAAGGAGCTTTTTACTGTTCCTTACAATGAAATAGATTGGAATAAGGCGCGAAATCTCTGTGAAAAGGTTAGATAGATATTGTGTTTCCTACTGAGCCCATTCTTCTAAATATGGATATATCTTCTATTCTCTAATATTTATATCTTATTGTTGTCTTCAACATTCTAGAGAAATTGGGAACATATTTGATTGAGTAATAGTTTTAGAAATAGAAAATAATAGTTTCATATGCATCTTGAAGTTCTGTTTGGTAATACCTTTGAATGTGATTGGAACCTCTCTTCAAAAAAAAAAAAAAAAAGGGGGATTGGAACCACAACAAACAGTATTCTCTTGCATACGTAATGGTAAGACTTGCAATGAGGTGGTCAGAAGTTGTATTTCAGGTTCTAAAGACCAGAAAGTTGTTTTTTTTTTTTTTTTTTTTTGATAAAAGACCAAAAAGTATTTAAGCCTTCCGTAAATTTCAAATTTGGTTCAAACTAGTTCTTGATTATTGATAGAAAAACTTCTTTGCTTGTACAGGAAGATTTGTATTACCCACACCCCGCTGTTCAAGATATCCTTTGGGCATTTCTTCATAAGGCTGTTGAACCAATTTTAACGCGTTGGCCAGGAAAAAAGTTGAGAGAAAAGTCTCTCTGCACAGTGATGGAGCATATACACTATGAAGATGAAAATACTCGTTATATTTGCATTGGGCCCGTGAATAAGGTATGTGATGTGTTTTAATAATATTCTTTATTCGGTTGAAACCTTACATTGTGTAAGCTTCAAAAAAGTTTACACAAAAAACTTCCTACTTGTTATTATTACTACTTATAAGACAAGATTATAAATGAAAGGAGAAGGATTCCAAAGATGACAAGATGTCATTAAAGTTACAAGCAAATACATCGATCTCTATTCAAATAATAATAATAATAAATGACAAGTCTTTGAAATCTTTAGTATTAAACATCCAAAAAGCAACCATCTTATCCCAAAAAAGATCGCGATTTCCCTTCTTATCTTCAAAAATCATGCCGTTTCTTTCTAATCTTGAAATTTTTAGGAACCTTCCTCTACTGTCAGTGTTTATTTCTACTAACAAAAGATAGGAAATTTCTCTAAACTTTTTGAGGCACTGTTCTTTTCACAGTTCGAATCACAATTCAACTTTTATGCTACAATGTTATCTCTCACAAAATTTGAATTTCAGCTCAAGTTTCCTCTCGAACCTGTGAAAAAAACAGTCTGAAAGAAGCTTTTGTACCTCCATAATCCAAAGTCTCCTTTATAACTTTTCACAACCAAGCCGCTCCACCAGTAATCTCTATCAAAATGCTTATAACTTGCCTGATATACTCTAGGATTCTTGACAATTAACTCAACTATCAAATAACATAACATGACAGAAATTTCTAGAGATAGAAATTCCTAGAGAGAGAGCTTCAAGCTTCCTACTTATTTCTGTTAGGAATTACAGTTTGGAGTCATGACTGACTTAACAGGTTTTAAATATGCTTTGCTGTTGGGTTGAAGATCCGAATTCAGAGGCTTTCAAGTTGCACCTTCCAAGAATCTATGATTTTCTATGGATTGCTGAAGATGGCATGAAAATGAAGGTCCAAATCGTTTCTTCGTTTTTTTTTTCCCTAAAGCTTCTTCTATTTAAGTTATTGAACACCTACTTTTATTAAACACGTTTTAGCTATAAACTAGCGAAGAACTTGATAGAAAGATTTTTCTTTGCTAGTAGCTGCTGGAGTAAATTCAAGTCATAACATGATTCCAGCATATCCTTTCTACTGATGTTAGTAGAACTTTACTTTTTTTTTTTTTTTTTGTTCTCACAGTTTCAAAGAAGTCAATACTTGTGTTGTTATGTTGGCCTCTCTTCGTGTTCATAATAGGATTAGAAGAATGTGAAGGAGTTCTGCCTCGAGGTCCTTATGGCTTTTTATTGTTATGAATCTAATTAGCTTAACGCACTATTCATTTTCTTGATTTTTGTACTTTCTTTATCCTTTTCTAACTGCTGCCTTTTTTAGGTGCATTTCATTTAAAATTAATGTTATGTAGAACTCATTTTGTTATTGCTTTGGAAGGTTTTGTTGATTATGTTTTGTGCTGATAGTCTATTTAGCACAGTAACTACTACGCCTAAATTGGACTCAAATGACTATTAAAATCTACTTAGAACAGTAAAAATTGGTGACATATTTGTTAACTTTTCTATACATAATGACTCTAATGCAGGGGTATAATGGAAGTCAGTTATGGGACACTGCTTTTGCCATTCAGGCAATTATTTCAACCAACCTTATCAAAGAATACAGCACAACTCTAAGAAAGGCGCATGAGTTCGTTAAAAACTCACAGGTCAATGCCGCTCTATGCGGTTTGAATTCAACTAGTGCTTCTCAGTGTTTGTCTAATTTGATGCCTTTCCCACCTTTCTCTAGTTGACTGGTTGTTATTTATTTTCTGATATAGGTTTTAGAAGATTGCCCAGGTGATCTTGGCTTTTGGTATCGTCACATTTCAAAGGGCGCTTGGCCTTTCTCTACTGCTGATCATGGGTGGCCCATCTCAGATTGTACAGCAGAAGGATTAAAAGTAATTGTAGACAACATTTAATGTGTTTTATTTATTAATTAATGGTTTCTAAATTTCGTGTCTTGCCTTCTCAGGCTACTCTCCTATTATCAAAAATTCCATCAGATATTGTTGGTGAACCATTAGAGGCAAATTGGCTGTATGATGCTGTCAATGTTTTGCTCTCACTACAGGTTGGTGGATTGAGATATTTCAATAATGAAACCAATTGTTTGCATTTCTTTGTGGACTCGTGATGCTCTCTCAAAAAGAGTTTGCTATTTACTTTGAAGATTTGCTGTACCACTCTCACATTATCTCCCTATTAATAGTTGTATTATGATTCTAATGTTTTACTATATATATATATATATATATATATTTGTGCTTCTTTGTTTTGGAATAATTATGTTGTAGAATGGAGATGGTGGCTTTGCATCATATGAACTCACAAGATCCTACCGTTGGTTGGAGGTATCCTCCTTCAAAAGTTTTTTCCCTTATTGTTTATTATATTGTTTAAGCGCCCAAAGTTCAATGCCTTTCTTCCCTTGATGTACGCTCTATAATACTCACCTTATATTGGTAGGATATTGTATTGAATATCTGCATGATGGTTCAGAATCATTCATCTGATCTGATGTTGCTCTTTTGTATGGAACTGTCTTTTCTTTTTGACTGCATGTCACCCAAACTACGTGAGACCAGAAGATGCCTTTCTGAACTCTTCGCCATATTGTGCTAGTTGCTGTGGATAGTAAATAAATGTTCATACTTCATAATATTAGAAAAAGAATTACTAGTAGGAAACGTCTCATTCAATAACATAATTTTGAGCATTCATGAGTCGTTCTAACTTCCATATTGAGAATCTTTATGATAATCCATTTTAAAATGTGGAAGTAAAACATATTTCATTTGAAAAAAAAATGTAATCTAAATAAACTTCTACATATTCTTTACGAAATTCAAAATTATTGAACTGACCCTAAATCAGAATCCCTTACTTTTGATGCACATGGCTCTATGTAACACACATGATGGTGCCGAGTGCATGGCTGGGATTGATACATTTGTAAGGTATAAATCTAGTTCAGTGGACTCACTTTCTTACTTGAACCAGTCGACCTGAGTGTCATTTTTAATGGGTATTGCTATTGATACTCTTTAGCATTAAAAAATAATAAAAATAAAAAAAAATAAAATTAATAATAAAAAAAATTAAACTTGAACTTGGTGAGGGGTGGCCATTAAAAAAAAATAAAAAAAATTAATAATAAAAAAAATTAAACTTGAACTTGGTGAGGGGTGGCCATAGTACAAAATAACTGAAGTAGAAGAACAATTAATGCATTAAACATTAGAAGCTCCTGACCATTAATGTAGGCTTCATAAGATGGCGTTTTTGGTGCGTTAAAAGTATACAATATGTTGTGTTGACTTACTCAGTCGTTTAGTTACTACATGGATCATGTAAGATAACTCTTTTTTAATAATTTCTTTTGCATTTCCAGTTGATCAACCCTGCCGAAACCTTTGGTGACATTGTCATTGATTATCCGTGAGAGTCCAAGCCTTTTCCTTTTTTTTTTTTTTTTAATTTTGTCTCTTTTATGTGTTTAGCTTCAACGTTTGTATCTAACTATGATATCTCTCCTTAGTTATGTTGAATGCACCTCAGCTGCTATACAAGCTTTGACAGTATTTAGAAATTTGTACCCTGAGCATCGACAAGAGGAAATAGAACGTTGTATCAAGAAAGCCATAATATTCATTGAAAAGGAACAAGCATCAGACGGTTCATGGTTTGTCCTATATTCATCAATTCTTAAGGTCCCTCTATTTTTTTTCTTGTTCTGTTATATTCCCCCAATATGTCAATTTTGTGCACTACTTGATGAATACATGCATGCTTGTTGAGTGAAACTTTTTTGTTCGCTTTTTCTTTACCTTCTGTTGACAGTTTTTTTTCCCCCCCTTGCTACTGAGTTGACAATTTGGTTGTTACTTTAATTTTTGGATTTGCTGAACAGGTATGGTTCTTGGGGTGTCTGTTTCACTTATGCTACATGGTTTGGGGTTAAAGGGCTAGTGGCTGCTGGAAAGAACTACAATAATGACTCTAGCATCCGTAAAGCTTGCAATTTTTTGCTATCGAAACAACTTGCATCTGGCGGCTGGGGAGAGAGCTACCTTTCATGCCAAAACAAGGTCAATTTTTTTAATATGTACATGTTTGTTCTTAAGTTTAAATGGCATACATGACAGGGTCAATAAGCTTAGTCTGATTGGGAGACGAATGGTTAGTTATCCAAATTTTTATTATTTCTTATCTTTTAATTTCTGTCAGACATTAATTTATTATACATATACTATTACAGAAGAAATGATTCTTTATACTAAGTCGAGCTTAAATGGGTTTCTTTGATGTTATTTTGTTTTCCTGCTCATAACCTCTTAGCTATTTTCCATATAGGTTTACTCTAATCTTGAGGGAAATAGGTCACATGTGGTCAACACTGGATGGGCTTTGATGGCACTTATTGATGCTCAACAGGTACGTAAAAGATTTCGATAAGTAACGTATATAAAATTTGATAGGCATCAACATTAATTGATATGAATCATTTCACATATTCTTATGTCGCTAAGAACAGTCATGCACCGATAAAAACATGGTAAAACAAGACGTTGCCTTGCCTTTACTTTGTGTATGCAGGCAGAGAGAGACCAAACGCCCTTGCATCGTGCAGCTAGGTGTCTCATAAATTCTCAAATGGAGAATGGAGATTTTCCTCAGCAGGTACTTTGTTACATGGGATAGTGTTTAAATTGAATGTTTGATCCGCATTCCGCAAAGAAATCATGTTTCAAACTCGGGCTCACAGTGTGGGTTTGGGGGATTTCCATATATCAATAAATAAATAAATGAATGACAAGCGTTTAATGGTTTTGATGGCAGGAAATCATGGGTGCATTTAATAAGAATTGTATGATAAGTAATGCTGCATACAGAAACATATTCCCTATTTGGGCATTGGGAGAGTACCGTCATCGGGTGTTGAAGCAGGTACGCCATAAGCTAAGCTACTACTCAACCTTTATTATTTAATCTTGAGGCTTATTATTCCTTCTATTATAATTCAAATTCTAGTTATTTCTTGATTCTCTCAAGATAAGCATTTACCTTCTTTTCTTTTTTGCCCACTAACCATTTTCGACCTTTTATGCTTAAATAGTTAGGAAAAATGTTGTTGATTTCAATTTTTGTAACAACTACTGTTTGTGACAGGGACAACACCAGTAGGTGCTGCAATAGGGCTTGGAGCTGCTGCATCTGAATGTATAATTCATTTGCTTAGGTGTTATTTGTTCAAAGGTCCAAATCAAAAAATTTGAACCAAAATTCTGATTTTTGTGAGAAAAAACACTATAGCAAATACCAATTCTTTAGAAGTCTAAAGGGTTTAATGTTTTATGGTAGAAGTGAAGAATAACTCAAAACAATATTGCATTTTGTTTTCTTCATTAAAGATATATATATATATATATATAGAGAGAGAGAGAGAGAGAGAGAGAGAGAGAAAAACTATAGAAGTTTCATTTTGAGGACGGGTTTGGGAATAATTTCTTTTTGGCATTGATCATATTAGCCATCTATATAATGCTACCTTAATTTTTTTTTTTATGCATTTATAGTTGGGAGTTTTTTTGTTGTTACATTTTATTATGCAAATCTACACATCTATATAAGTTTTAAAACGTACTGTTTAATGAACTGTATATCAATCAACCAAAACGAGCGTTTTGGTTTAAATGCTCGTTTTGGTTTTTTTTTTTTTTCTTTTGATGTTTTTTTCTTCTCGTCTTTTCTTTTTTCTTTTACTTTTTTCAGATATTATCCTATTTAAATATTTTTTTCAGTGGTGCCATAAAATTTGTTTATTTTTTTATTTTAGTCGTATTTTGACTATTTTTTATTTTTGTCTTGCCTTTTGCCTAAAAACATTTTTTTCTTCAATTTGACCCTTTTTTTTCACTGAAACTTTATTTTTGCCTTGAAATTTTACATTGTTTTCTGTCTTGATCGATTATGTCCTAAAACTTATTTATTTTTTTTTATTTTAGTCCTTTTTTACCTTTTTCTCTATTTTTATCTTGAGTTTTTTTCGTTTTGGTTCCTTTTGTCTTAAATTTTTTTTTTTCATTTTGGTTCTTTTTTACCTTTTTTTTTTTTTTAATTTTTGCTCTGAATCTTTTTTTTTTCAATTTGGTCCCTTTTTTTATAACTTATTTATTTCTTCATTTTAGTTCTTTTTTTTTTTAATTCCTTTTTGGCTTTTTGCACTAAAATTCTTTCTTTTTTTTTCCTATTGGGTTATTTTTTGAGATTTTATATTAAGATGTTATGTGCTTTTAACACGGTAATAAAAACTTAATACACGGATTGCTCTCCAATCCGCGTGGATGACACGTGGAGTTCAACTAATATATAAGCTATAACTCATAATTGAATTACAAAAGCATCAGGCGTCCGAACATACTTTATATTAAGTATTGGTTTTAGTTACAATCAAACGCGTCAAAACTGACGCAGGATTCTAACTAAGAGGGATAAATTGAGAAAAAGTTGAAACTAAGAGGTATGTTTAAGTAATTATCCTTAATTAATATTGTAACCATAGCATAAAAACAAGTTCATATATATATATATATATATGTGTATATAACAATTATTGAACGGAACATTGAGGTTCGAGAGAAAAGTAACATAATTTTTAGACAACTAAATTTTTTTAATTTTTTTTTTTTTTAACGTTGATGTTACGTTTAATAATTATTATGTTACATTTTCGTAATTAGTTCATATATAATGAATACAGGTCAAAGTCTTTCAAGTTCATATATATGTATATAACAATTATTGAACGTAACATCGACGTTTGAAAAAAGTAACATAATTTTTAGATGACTAAATTTTTTTAATTTTACTTTTCTCTAACGTTGATGTTACGTTAATAATTATTATGTTACATTTTTGTAACTAATCCATATATATATATATATATATATAGAATACAGGTCAAAGTCTTTGAAGTTCATATATATATATATATAATAATAATAATTATTATTATTAAACGTAACCTCGACGTTCGAGAAAAGTAACATAATTTTTAAATGACTAAATTTTTTTAATTTTACTTTTCTCCAACGTTAATGTTATGTTTAATAATTATTATGTTACATTTTCGTACTACAGATCAAAGTCTTTCTAGTGAGATAAAAAGTTCGTGTCTACTGTGTTTACAAGTAGTACTACTAGAAATTAGTGCAACTTATTCTTTGGGCTAGACATTTTTTTTTTTTTTTTGCTTCGTCTGAATTTGCCCACTTCCTATGCAATGGAGAGCTACATTTGCTCTAATTTCCAACTATCAATAATCAGGTGATCCATAGATTACTTGACTGAATCCGGATTGACATAATCAAGAAAAGAGAAATTAAAATGGATTAGTGGACGTTATCCATGTTCCGTACATAAATTTCACAACTAATTAATTTCATTTTGTAATTAGTACTTCTAAATGGAGACATCAAACGACCAAATTAAAGCATAAATATTAAAAAGGTGCTTCACTTTTTCGAAATGTCAATTAAATTCATTGGAATATATTGCCCGTTTAGTTCGCTGATTCGAGTTTTTAATTTGAGTTGACATGTGACTTTATGTGAGAGATTTTTACTGTAGTAAAAAAGTTAGATGCAACTGTTTCTGAGAGCTTTTTACTGTAGCAAAACTCGAATTTTAAATTCGAATCGGTAAAATGAATGAGTCTTAACTTTGTTGGACAACCGCTCTATACGTGACATAGGTGGATATTTATTTTACGAGAGATGTAGGTTATGCATGTGTGTGTGTATATATATATATATATATATATGCATACATTGTACATATAACGTTATGTGTCGTCAACCCAAGTATTCAACAAGTGGATGAACTCTCAAAAGAAAATTAATTACAAATATTTGAAAGCATTAAGATGTCGCATTATTTGATCTAAAAAGCAAGGGTGAAGATAGGAGCCAATGATGTACTCTTGGAAATTATCAAGCACCAAAAATAAATAAAGAAATAAGTGAGGAGTTAGAGAATTAGCAAGCACAAGAAGACTCTTTTCTTGTGCTCAAAGTCAAGATCCTTTCTTTTACTTTTCGTCACCGGCAAGAAAGGAAAAGCAACAAATTGAAAATGTTGGAGTTTTGGCTGTTGGCAAATGGCAATACATTTTAAAACAGATTGTTGAGCAATGGATTAGGATCCTGGGGCAGATTATAGATGATTTGTCAACTAAAACTATAGGTACTATTCTAATCTCATTGAATCGTTACTCAAGCTAAAATTAATAAAAAAAAAAAAATTAGACCGACAACGATTCGCACTGAAACTCAAGCGCAAATACAAAGATGGGAAAAATAAAGGATTCTGTCATTTTTGTCACTACAGATAGAATCCAACTTTGGTGGGAGTTTAAAGGCTAACGATGACGATTACGATGAGGAGTTCTTCCAACGATGACAACTATTGAATCCCAAATTAAGCAAAAAGTAAAATAAACCAGAGTAACATTGAATTGTCAATGAATTGTTAAAATATATCTAGTTTCAATTCATTTGCATTTTCAATATTGATCGTGTCCAATTTTTGTGGGATTTCAAGGCTAATAATGATGACAATTACAATGACAAGCTAGGAAAAAGGGCATCTGGGACGTACATAAAATGTTCTTCAAAGCATTCACATTATGAATAAAATATTAATTATCTGAGTTAAATCCCAGAAAAGGAATATAAAAATTTTATTTTATAAAAAACCTATGCTTAATAGACGAATAGGAGATATTTATAGAAATTATCTTCTCGATGGACGTTTCCTTTTGTTCGTTTTTGAAAATAAACACTCATGGACGTTTTCTGATAACTTCTTGTCTATAAATTAAGCATCCTACAATTTAGCTAGCTATCTTCAAACAAACCTCAACACATTCTCAGTCGGTTCCTTAAATTGATACGCCATGTTAATTATGATCACGTTTCCCAAGGAGAAACATGCTCATGACCTTCTGCATCTTGTCCAAATCCTTATTTTGCTTTCTCTCACTGCTGCTTTAGCTAGTGTGTTACGGCTCCGCCGGAACGCGAAAAAAGCTCTTGTCATCGACCCGCCGCTGCCTCCCGGCCCCCGCGGCTTGCCACTGGTGGGATACCTTCCTTTCCTGAGTCCATACCTATACGAGGACTTCTCCAAGTTGGCAACCGTGTATGGCCCAATTTTCAAGTTCTGGATGGGAAACAAGCTAGGCGTGGTGGTCACTTCGGCGCCGCTGGTTAAAGAAGTGGTCCGCGACCAAGATGTAGTGTTCGCCAACCGCGGCTTTAGTACCTGTGGATATGTCGCCACTCACGGTGGCCACGATATCGCATTTGCACCGTACGGACCAGAATGGAAGAAGCTTCGTAAGATCTTTGTTCGGGAGATGTCAAATAACACAGTCCTAGCCGGTAATCTGAGCAGCCTGAGAAGAGAAGAAGTGAAGAAATCCATTAGGCAAATCTACAAGGACATGATTGACACCCCAGTTGATATCAGAAGCTTGGCGTTCCAAATGGCCATAAACTCCGTTATTAGCATGACGATCAGTGCGTCGGAGGGGGATAATGCCATCATCAATGTTGTCGAGTTTCAAAAGGCAGTGGAGGAGTTACTTGCACTAATTGGGAAACTGAACGTCTCGGACGTTTTACCTGCGATTGCGCGGTTTGATATACAGGGAATCGAAAAAGACACTAGGAAGATTACTCTAGCGATCGAAGCGATCTTCGATTACGCCATAGCAAAACGGAACGAGAATGCGAAAAATCATGAGGCCAAGGAAATTATGAGGAAGGACTTTCTACAAGTCCTTTTGGAGCTTCATCATGAGCATGAAGATCATACTAGTGAAACGTCTATTAGTATGCCAGAAATCAAAGCCTTGCTCATGGTATAAGAACTATATAATATATCCTTGCTTAAATTATTGCAGTTACTACGTAATTATTATGTCAAATCTCATCATTTTTACGTGAAAAATATAGTATGAGAATGCAGATCAGACGTTGAATGCTTATGATCATTTTCAAATTTCTCTGATTATCATTTAGGACGCTTTGTTGGGCGCCACGGACACAACGACAACAGTGGTGGAGTGGACAATGACAGAGATTCTCAAGCATCCCGAGATAATGAGTAAAGTTCAGGAAGAGTTGACACAAATTGTGGGGTTGAACAACAACGTTGAAGAGGTTCATTTGTCCAAACTTAACTATTTGAATGCTGTCGTCAAGGAAACGTTTCGATTACACCCACCATTGCCCCTTCTAGTACCCCGTTGTCCGAGCCAATCGGCAATCGTCGGCGGTTATCTTATACCCAAAGGTTGTACAGTTTTCCTGAACGTTTGGGCTATCCAAAGAGACCCAAGCGTCTGGGAAAACCCTCTGGAGTTTCAACCTGAGAGGTTCCTCATGACCAATGCTGAACACCAATTGAATCATAACTTCTCGGGCAACAATTTCAGCTATTTTCCGTTCGGAGCTGGGAGAAGAATATGCGCAGGGGTCTCCCTAGGCGAGAAAATGTTGATGCTTATGTTGGCTTCTATGTTACATTCCTTCGAGTGGAAATTGCCTCTTGGAGCAAACCTTGATTTATCAAACAAGAGTGGGATGATTATTAAGAAAAAGGAACCTCTGCTGTCTATTCCTACACCCAGACTGTCTCACTCACTACTCCACATTTGAAAAATCAAACCAAGCCCTACTATATCCCTAATTGGTTTTTTGTTTCTACCGTACCAGCATTGTAAGAATGGTGTAATGTGATTGTCTACAGCCAAAAACTAATAAAAAAAGACAGTAGTCAGTGGCAAGAACCAGAGTTCTATTTCAGCAGAGAAATATATTATGGTCCGTTTATTTCACCGATTTGAGTTTAGAATTCGAGTTTTGTTACAGTAAAAAGCTCTCACAAACAGCCACATCTAACTTTTTTGTTACAATAAAAAGCTCTCCCATAAAGTTACATCTCAACTCGAATTAAAAACTCGAATCGACGAACTAAACGGGTTATATATTTTCACCTTGAATTAATAAAAAAAAAATGTGAAATTCAGCGGAAGCATATATTAAGAAAAATGTATTTTAACATAATAAAACGAGAAAATCACAAATTTTTAAAAACTATTTTAAAAAAAAAAAAAAAAAAAAAAAAAAAACTCAAGGGGGTGGCTCATCTCCGAGTGACTCCGCCACTCACACTAGTAGTGTATGGATCATTCCCAAGTAATTTAGCAATTGTTATCAACTTATCATCAATGTTGATACAAGTAGTACTTGCGGAATCAAATGGTGACTACTTGTATGTGAGCAAAAAAGTTTAAAATCTAATGATTAATCTTTTTTTTTTTTTTTTTACTCTGTCTATATGATAGATATTTGATTTTTTTTTTCATACTTAGTTCTCTGAAGTAGTGAGTTTGTGTGATTGATGTGTACGGATTTATGTAGATTATCGATGAGAGAGCATGAAATAATTTTCAATTTTGAAAGTGCATTGAATAGGGACGTGATAACATCATTAGGGGCATCTTCTAGACGAGCAAAAAAGAAAAATTGCAAAAAAACAAATAAATAAATAAATAATAGTGGCAACAATATGAAATACACACGTAAGAAAGGGAAAGGCCAACCTTATCCAAAAACGAGAGATTGAGAGGGAAAAAAAATCCACAAGAGAGGCTCAAAATTGTATGTAGCCAAAACAAAGGGTGTCTGTGGCAAACGGTATGGGGAGAGATGAGTGCCTCTGTTTCGTCCTCTGCTCTCGTCGCCACTGGCACTACGGCCGCCGCCACCGCCGCCACCGGACTTAGTCGGAGAAGCTGCCGGAGCAAATGCGTTTTCACTTCCAAACCTTTCACTTTGCCCTCCCATTCCAACCACGCTTTTTCGATCCGAGGTTAAATATTTCCTCTCCTCTCCTCTGTTTCTTTTGTTTCCTTTCCCTTTTTATCTAAATTTGTTTCTGAGAAAATATGGTAATGAGAAGGAAAAAAAAAAAAAAAGAACTCACATTTGTTAAATGGATCATACCATGTTAAACACTGATATTTTCTCAGCCTTAAAAACTAAAGAAAACCGCCCTTGTACTTAAATAGCAATTTTTAAGTAAAATAAAAAATAAAAATTGCACAGCATAGCTGCAGAAATGAGTTCTTAGATTATGTGTTTAATACCCATTTTGGTTGATGAAAAGATGATGATTATAGATTTTCATACCATTGTCGTGCCTATAAATTTGTTTATTTTCATTAAAGATTGGCCATTGTCTCAACAACACCTGTTCCGAAATAAATTTGAGATCTTAACATTAATTCTGTGTTGGTTTACGTTCAACTGAGAATAAACATGAACAAATTGCTCCATTTTATTATTATCATTGTTAATGTTTTGTTACTATGTTGCAGTTACAAATGATTCTAGTAGGACAGAAGTGACAAGTGAGAGATCAGAAGCTGATAAGATAGTAGATGGAATGGAGTTTGGGGACTTGTGCAATGAGTTTGAGTGTATAAGTAGTCCGTTGGTGGAATCAACGGCCAGACAACTTGTTCGTGATATCCTAGAACTTAGAGAAGGCAACCGTGCCCTTGGTACTTTTGCCATTTCCGTTAGATACAAGGTCAGTCAGTCAGTTTATTATTAGGCTTAATCTCACTGGCGCCTCATGTACTTTGGAGTCATTATCAATTTACCTCATAAATAATAAAACTCTTCTTTTATAAATTTTGAATTAGTCTCATTTAAGCCATTTTATAAGAATTTATGTTAAATTCAGACATTAAAAAAGTAGTTAAGTGTGGTCATGTGATTTATAAATAGATATTCAAACAAAAAGACTACGTGACTGCATTGCTCCGTTTCTTCTATCTGTTTTTAACAGAAATTTCAACAGAAGGGATTAAGTGAGAACAATTCAAAACTCAGGGAGTAAAGTGAAAGTTTTAAAATTCGAAGGGCGAACTGGAAATGACTCCAAAGTTCAGGGACACCAGTGATCTTTATTATCATGTAACTTTGTGCAGATAAAATATGCACGAATACAGAAAAAACGGTCTTTCAAACTATTTGGATAAATCTTTCAATTGTCTAACGTTCAGTTAATATCAAAAAGTTGGAATAATAGTTAAGAACTCATATTATTCTTTTATAAATTTGTTATAGAAGTTAACTTAGGGGAACTGAATTGTGAACATTATCACAATGCTGGCTAAACCTTTTCTAAAACAGATTACTGGCTGAACTTTTCTTTTCCTGCAGTTTTAGCCCATGACTATTTTAGATTAATTTAACTAAGGACCAATATATGCTCAATCCTAACATCTTTTCTTTTGCTAATGCTTATTTTTCATGTATAGTTTCTGAATAATTTGATAGTACGTTATCATTCAAAATGCAGGATCCAGTTAGAAGTTTTACAGGCCGTGAAAAATACAAGAGACCTTTATGGGTAACCAATGCACTAGACAAACCCTCTGTGGTGAGAGAGACATCTATGCTTTTGTAGATTTGCTTTATTTTTTTTCCTAATAAATTATGATTATGGTATTATTTTTTATCATTTTTCTTTCTTTTATGTTCTAGAGTGTGCAAGAAATGGTTATGTTATCAACCAGTGAGCTAATTATCAAGTGGACGATCAGAGGAAAGCCAAAGTCTTTCATTGCTGGTATTGGAGGAGATTTGGTGATGAGGATCAACTCAAAGTTTATTCTAAACCAGATTAGTGGCCAAGTGATTGAGCATGAAGAGTCATGGGATTTATCATCTTCATCATTCATTGCTCAGGCATATTTCTGGACATCCCGTCGACTTTTTGCCGCGTCTGAGGGCACGAAAGACTTGGCCGATCTTGTGAAAAATCTGTCCAGCAGTTTCCCAAAAGAAAAGCAAAACACGGATATTTATCCAGACCCGTTGGGTGATCCAACAAAGGTTAGTTCCTCTTTCTTTTTTTTCCTTTTTTTTTTTTTTTTTGGCTAATTTGAAACCAAAATTCTTGTTTGTGGAAATTTATTGGCATTTTGTTTTTTTTCATTCATTCAGTTCTTTCAGAGGGACGACAGCTTTCAAAGAGATGCATACCAGATTGCACTCCTTCTGGCAGTTCTGTATTTCGTTGTACAGTTTTTGAGGACAACCTTGTAAAGCCTGTCTCGCCTATACTTGTATTCATATGTGTAATTACCCATCTTGTACATGGCAGTATCAATTAAATTTAAGTTTGTTTTGTGAACAAAAATCGTTTTATGTCTTATTTAAATTGTATTTCAATTTGTATTTACCATTTTTATCCAAAATAGTTTAGTAAGAACAATAAATTAGGTAATAATGGTGTTATCTCTAAAAGGAGAGAGAGAGGGTAAAATAATGTACCACCAAGCAAATTTATTCATTAAAAGAAAAAAAAGGACTTAAAACCCGTTTATCCCAAAAAACTGAAAAAAAAAAAAAAAAAAAAAAGGAGGGAAAATAATGTACCACCAAAGCACACATTTCTATTGAATAAATTATGGTACAACAAAGATTGTGAATGTTCTTTTGTTACTTTGTTCAAATGGTCTAACAAATAAAATTGTGCAGCATGGCAATCAGTAACAAAAAGAATGTCAGCATTCCTCCAGTTATCACCTTGGAAGCTGACGAGAGATTGTGGGAACCTACAGAGTACACTGCTCCTGAATTTTCATCCTTCACTTTAATGCTTGTCGAACCTATTTAATAAAAAAAAAAATTAAAAAAATTGAGAATGTCTCCACAGCTATCTATTTTTCACATCTTCAACATCAGGATTCAAAGGACTAAGGCCAAAAGGACAAGCCAGTGACTAACTACAATCAAAGAAAAGAAGAACGCAGAATACATTCAGAGATACTCACAGTTATATTCTGTCCACCCAATAGATTGATTTTCAAGATCATATAAAACTAGCTTATTTGAAAGCACCATATCTGCATTTGTAAACAGTCAGAAACGTAAATATATGGGAATTACACACAGACCAATAATTAGTAATTTTAGGTTCTGTATTAAAGAATTCCAACCAATCAGATTATCTATTCATCAAGCTCAAGCTATGATATAATGCCTTAAACAATCCTAATATGTCGGTGTCTATTGATTGTTTAGAACGAGTAGTACTATACTTTACCTCCTAAAAGAATCATTTCCTTTCCGTCCTTGGATTGCAACCCACTGTTCTGCCAACCAATGCACCAAACATCCTCCTATAGAATGCGGTGAAAAATGTTTATTAGCAAAGAATCCCTTGAGGAAGGTGATTGTATTTTGTAAGGGGGTTTAGGGATTGACATGGCGTCTTTGAATAACATAGATTTGTGAAAAAATTACTTACACGAATCTGGAACAAATATTCATGAGGATAAACTGTCAAAGTAAGAGACTTGTCAAAACGGAATTTAACAATTGGAAATCCATCGTCAACACTGCAAGGGCAGATTACAACAACAAATAAGGTGGTTACTTGCAGCTCAAGAGATAAACATCACTCATATTGAAGAAACTTTATAGAAAAATTAACTTCTTAAATGGCATCAAAATGCTAAAATAAAGATACTACATGGTAATAGTTGCCATTAGGTCCTTACTTTCCAGTAAATTGAAAACAGGAAAACTGATCTTCAACAGTATGTAATTTCAATCCAGGCTGCTGAGACATAACCTGATAATATTTAGAAAAAAAAAATGTATTAAGTATATGTAAATCAAACTCAAAAAATAAAAGTAAAAGATAAAAAATATTCAAACGTATAGTGGTTCAACAACATCGGTGTACCTTACTCATCAAGGAATCATAAACCACCTCTGGAAGATAAGCCAAGGTTGTACCACTGTCAATAATAGTTCCTTTCCCATCTGCCGTGTCGAATGTATCTGTGGGAAGGTCGAGAACATCACCACCCACCGTAATTTCCTTCATATTAACATTGTAGTGCGCCCTAAGATAGTTAATGGAAGTAAAATTATGACAACATTCATATCTTAAGACTTAGCCTGGTTGAGAAAAGAAGAGCATGTTGATAAGCAAAAACTTCTTAGATAAGCATACAGATCATAAAACTTGACTTGTAACAGTAATGTTCATATGTTGCTACATGACTCTTGGAAGGTTCCTCTAAATCGCAATATAAAGATGAATTACACAGCCAGGGAAAAACAATGCAAGTTATACAACGAAAAGTCTCAGAAATATAACATCACTCACTGATTAGGCACCAATGGAGTCTTATTCACCCGTGGCTGCACCACTTCCCCAATGGCAAAGATTCCACCACCACTTATAGTGTCCAAACAGTGTGCGAATTCCTTTTTCACCTTTCCAGCTAAAGCAAGCTGTGAAAGCACCGACGAATTTGCCTGTCCAAAACCAAGTATTCCATCAAGGGCTTCAGAAGATGTACCTAGCTCCCCAGATTGTTTAGCTCCACACCTACTCCAGAAGAGGCAGTTAAGTATATACGCATGAAGACCCTAATATCTTCAGGAGAACTGTAACAACCACAGTAAAGAGCAATACTAGAAACGAAACTCACCCGAATATTACACTCCCGTTTGTTGTTGCCGTTTGACGGTTTCCAGTCACTTTGTTGAAGTGTAAAGCATCCTTCACAAAGTATCCGGCAGTTGAGCTTCCATCTCCATAAACAACATTATATTGGCACAGCAACTCTGGCCTGCAACCAGGAAGTTGACCATCGTATGTGGAAGTGCAAAAATCTTGATCACAATTAACGTATTTTGAAGTTGTGGAGCTCTTTGGATCATATAATGTGAGATCTATCTGTTGTATAAATTCAAAATAATAAACGTCTTTTCTACGAAGCATCAACATAATCCGGCAAACATGATAAGACTCGCAGCACTCCAAAACATATGAAAATGCAAGTAATATTCCGCAATGACACGGAATAAAAATGGAAAAACCATGATCCATCCAGTAAAGGAAACAGTAAGAATAGAGAGACGTACACCAAGATTGCTTTTCTTCGGACACTTCTCGCAGCCAATACAGTTCACCCATAAAATGTCACTGCCTGTATCAACTTGCACATAATAATTTGTTGAAGGAGACCCAATCCCAATTCTCGCATAGTACAGCCTAAACCAACCAACAAAATTAGCAGCAGCCAAATTGGAACAGAAATGATTGCACTTGACAAATTTTTACTATTTGAGTTTCATCACACAGAACATAATTTAAAATTTCACTCTTCATAGGCCGAATAGGTAACAATATAAGATTCTCTATGCCATTTTATCCTTATATATACACATACCAATAAAGTAATCACAATAAACCAACAACTCTCGGAAGAAATAGTAATTCAACCGAAATTTGTGTTATGGATCTAATTGACTTGAGTCAACCAAGTACCTGACATGAAAACCTAAAATAACCAAACATATGAATTTTGCTAATTATTGCATCCAACCTTTAAAAGAATCAAAAATAACAAAAAGCTCCTGCAATCTACGTGGAATTGATACCTCAAGACCAAATCCTGTAAATTATTCACAATTCTCAATACAAAATTGAGTCTTAAAAGCAAGTCAACCCAGCATCTATAACCTAAACAGAGAAATCTAAAATCATTATTGCTCGTAATGGTGGTAGCCAATAATTCATTGAAAAATATTACAAAGAAGAAAAATAAAAATTGTCCTCCAAAATTTGATTAAATAAATAAATAAGAAAAAACATACCCGGTTTCAGAGGGGAGGCCATTGCCGCCCAATTCCAGATCCACGGCGGAGAGAATTCTCCGGTGACGGCGGACATCGTGGTCCTTCAATGCGCTCAAAGAACGCTCTTTGCCCTTGAATTTATGCTCAACTGGGAAAACAAAGTTCGCCGAGGCACTCGAAAACAGAGCGAAGAACAACAAACCGCCGAGCAAAATCAATGTCATTCGAAGATCCATTAACGGGCCAAAAAAAAAACAATCTTCTGTATATTGTGGAAATATATTTGGCAAAGATCCAATATTGACTTGAATCCGAAAATCTCTTGTATTTTCAGCTGAAAAAAAAAACAACTTTTTTTGGGTGGTTTAAGGAGGTGGGTTTTGCTGGGAATTCGGTCCAGTTGAATGGGGAAAGAAAAGCACAAATATATATATTGTGTGTGTGTGTGTGGGTATATATAAGCGATATGTATATTCTGCGAGAAGGAAAGAAAGGACATGAAGAAGACGCCAAGGAAAGAGAGAGAAAGGGAAAGAAAGAGATAGGAAGAGCTTGCGCGTTTTCAATGGCAAAGGTCACGTCTTCTTGTGCAATATGTTCGCAAAATAGAAAACAACGTCCACATTGTTTCCTTCTCTCCACTCTCTTCTTTTTCTTTTGTTTTTCTTGTTTTCTTCCGATTTTTTTTTTTTTTTTTTTTTTTGTGTTTGAATTGAAAAAAAAATAAATTACATAGTTTTTTTTTTTGAACT